GATTTATGCTTGCGTAGAGTTGTCAACTTTTGCAACACAGCTTCGGTGGTAAAAGACCTGTGAGTGAGTCCCGGCGCTAGGGCGATAAAAGCTGGAGGATCTCCTGATGGTAATAAACTCGGGAAGGTGATGGCATGTTGCATCTGCAGCACGTTTGCTGCTTCCATAACCATTCGCGTTGGGCCATCAGCCGTCCTGAGTGGTGGAACTCCTTGCCTCACCTTCCGTAGACCATGCAGGTGCTTATACAGCAGTTTGTGATTGGCGCTGAAGGTTTCTTCTGTGTTATGTCAATGCACGGCTTTGTCGTCTCTGAGCAGTTGAGTGCAGTGGTTTCGTTGGGCTACCTAGATATCCCAGCTTTCTGGTGTTGTGGATAAGCTATGCTCTCGCCACGTTGCGTTCCGTACTGCCAGCAATCTTCGAGTTTGCTCCTTTCGTACGTAACTGTTGCAGACTGTTTGGAAACTTGTCTCAGAAGCATCCGTAGCCAGCCGATTGCACTTGTTTACGAACTCGAGCCAGGCGACATCCGGGGGGACTTCGGCCATGAACGACTAGATTATGGCACTGACGAGGGGGGCTAATCGGGCGTAGCATATGTTCGTTCCGGTCGCCTCGTGCTCCGCATCGCGATATTTTGCATGGAAGGCGAAATTGAAACTGACAACTATATGAACACTGCGACCTAACGGGCAGTCTCCAACCAACGTTTCAATCATATGTTTTGCGTTGGTAACCACAAGACCAAGCACAGATGGCCTAGTACGTATTCTGAACCGAGTGAGCGAAAGGACATAATCACAAAGCGCAATCCTGCTAATAAGCTCGTGCAGATGGGCTCTAAATTGTTCTCCGATCATGGCAGCAGTTTCTGAACAATGCCCATTGAAATCAGCCATGGTCAGTATGTGTTAGGATTATAGCCATTTGACATTCCATTTTTGTGAACGAGCTTAACAGCCATTCTTTATGCTTCTTATTTTCCCCTTCTTGACTGTTGTTTACATGCTCCACTGTGTTAGCCCGATTGGTACACACACGTCATTGTTAATGGACGGTCATCTCCATGTCATCTTCAGCAGTGTCATTTGCAAGAACACACACTTTTCTACTTGGTTATGTTAAAGGAATATTTAATTGTCACACAATTATTGTACTAGCTTTTAATTTTTGGGTCTGCACTTATTATTCTCGGTTATTTCGTGACATTTGTTTAAACGCTACATTTCCTTATTCTGATTGACTAGCGTCCGTCACTGTGAACGGATGTTCGCTTTACGCTTGGGGTCCCATGATGCTATTTTTAAGGACATATGCGATTCGCTCTTGAGTACACGGTTGCTTATTCGCCCGTTGCATTTGACGTTTCTTCTTCTGTTGGTTGGCTCAAGTGTCGTTTAGTAGCTTTTCTTCATTTTGCCTTCAATACTAAATAAGCAAATGTGATTTCAAGTATACCACTCTCTTTCTGCCTCGTCTTTGGACTTCTTGCGGTCGTGGGATGCAAGCGTCAGTGGCGACACAGTAATATTTGAGTATATGTCCTGTTTAGAGTTCGCCGTAGTGCAGTGGCAATGTGGTTGTGCCTTTCATATGTGAACTTGGGGGATGATACACCAAGGCTATACGGAAAATGTTTCTGCCTTTAAACTACTGGCGGCACCAAATTGAATCATGAATCAGTGAATCTGAATTTTATATGACCACGCACTCTAAGTCGCTTTGGTAATACAGAATTACGCCTCCTCATTTTGCCAGTCTGTCGTTCCGACTGAGTGATTTGCCAGTTAGTGAAAGTTCAGCGTCCGTCATTTCAGTGTGTAACCAAGTCTCCGTGTTGCCAGTGATATCATATTTCTCGGAAACTTGGCGAGCTTTTAGTTCGGCGGTCTTCGTGAATAGTCCCTGAGCATTCGTGTACAGGCAGACTAGTTTGTTTGTCTCTAGCAGACCACTGGGGGTCAGGGAACTGGTGTGTGTTGGAGTGCCGACGGATGTGAGGTTTACCGCTATTCGTTTTTTGATGAGATACTATTACAACTTTCGTATCTTGCTCTGGCCAAGGCACGTTCTAACCCTCATCTAGGTCTACGTCAGTATCACATAAAGGAGCGATCATTGACGGTACTTCTGCTTTTTCAGATGATTTCGTAACTGGAGGTTGTGAAGCATCTGTAGTCCATAACCGATGTTCCGATGGAAAGCTTTTTCGATTATGGCGCCAACTATGTAACACATCCGTCGCTGCTTGCTGGGATAGGACCACAAGTTCTGGAAGTCTCTCTCTCTTCCTAAACATTGGTGCTTACGGTATCACCTGCTTCCTGCTGTTGTGATTGGAAAGTTACTTACAAGACAGAGTAATCAAGGTAAAATGAAGCGGACAATCACTCCGAAAGCCAGTGTACCTCCAGTGGTGTGTCTCAAGGATCAGTACCCTGCCCGCTACTGTTTTTGGTTTACATAAATGACTTCCCAGCCAACACTTTATCCCCCATGCAGATATTTACAAATGATGTGAACATATTGAGATTGATTCGCTCAACACCCGATCGTGCCCATCTTCAGAACGATCTGGACCGGATTAACGAATGGGCAGAAAGGACCCAGCAGACACTGAACTCTGCAAAGTGCCATCCGCTGACGATGCGTATAATATTTATCAACACATATCTTCCGGGACCGCATGTACTGCAACAGTCGACTAGTGAACGAGACTTAGGTATTATCGCTCAAAAAAGTCTTGATAATTCGCCGCAAGCTTCGAAAGCAGAAAATATGGCGGACTTGAAGTTGGGGCTTTTGAGACGAGCTCTCAACACCTTTGAATGACAGCTAGTACCAATGCTGATTAACTCGTATGTTCGTCCCCTCGTTAAACATGCCTTTCTGGCGTGATGTCCATGGTTAAAGCAAAACATTCGTCTTTTGGAACAGCCGCAAAGAAGAGCCACAAAGGCAACGCGTGGACTATCCAATCTAACCTATGAATCGTGTCTTTGTGTATTCGGTATGTTCTCTTCAGAATACCGACGGCTTCGCGTTGATCTCTTTCTCATATACCGATTACTAACCGAAAGCGACCATCTACGTACATCACTGTTGACCCTAGCCCCTTACAAATCATACCGAGGCCACCATCTGAAACTGGTAACACGACTCTGCCGTTTGGATTGGAGAAAGTATTTTTCTTAAAGTTTCTTGCACTGGAACACGCTACTCATACAAATGGTGAACGCACCAGGCATTGCAATATTCGCAAGATTAGTAGACTTGCATCTTACTGATAAGCACTACACAACAATGTAATAAAGTTTGATATCCCAACTACTGATAATTTACCTTCCACGTTAAAACATGTTTGAATTTAAGTTTACTTTGAATTTTCCATCCTATAGAACTGGTAAATTGTTGATTTGATTGTAGCATACACTATTTAACAATTGAACTATTGTAATTATCAGTTATGATTTTATGCCAGTGTACTGATGACAACTTGGTGTTACTCAGCCTCCTACAGAAATAGTGGTTCAGGCTAAATGCTTAAACCGTCAACTCGTCATTAGTCCTCAGTAAGGAGGGGTAAGGCGGTACTCATTATGGACTGGTTCACGAACAGAAGAACAGGTTTTAATGAAACCATTTCCAAACGGATGTGAGACTGAGTAAAACTACTACTGCGTTCAAAAAAACCGAACTTTTGAAATAGCCAGCCTACCGACAGGGAACGCGCTGCGGCTACTGCGGTCACGCCAACTAACTGTCAGAGCAAAACGCGATAAATGGCAGTTTATTGTCCAAACAAACCTCTACGTTCCTTCAGTAGTCGCAGCGTGCTCGCTCTGCCGGTTGGCGCGTTAGTTCGATGTCTTTTTGAACACAGTGGCATGCTAGAATTACTAGCCTTGGTGGGCGTATTTCTCTACTGAGACATAGAACACCGAAGAGCTAGAGATGATATAATCCTAATGACCGCCATATTTCTGGCTATGCTTTGACTAGACACTTCTACTTCGAATTTGGTGCTCCGGATTGAGCTTCCTGGAAGAGGAAGTACAATGTTCGTTATTGCTTAACTTTTATTAACGATACCGTCACTGCTTTCCAGCATGCTACATTAGTCTGGAAAAACTGAGTGCGTTCTTTCCACGACTACCATTAAACAATTTATTCAGGAACTCTTTTTCTTCGAATTGGTAAAGTATTATGAATAATATTTAGAGGCTGGATTTAGCCTTTAACTTTTTCTTGGTCTGTGGAAATATCAGCAATAACTCGCAAATGCTGCACTTTGGTACACTGCATCGCCACCATAGGGCATCACCATCATCATCAGTACACGTTAGCTGAGGGTGAAACACACATCTCAGAAAAGACAAGGGACTAAACAATTACAAATTACACAAGTTACACTACAAAAATATAATGGTAAATATTATATTATGCGTTTACCATATGACATGCACCGTTCAGTTTTCAATCTCGTGATCATTCCTGTCACGTCATCTGCGCCCTATCTATTTATCACTTTATTGTTCAGCCTAGCTCGAGTAGCAAAGGACATTCGACACAAGTGCAGCGCTAACCAATGACGTTTGTTCACAGGTTAAATCACGCAACGGGGAGCTTTAAACGTAAAGTGTTAGAGAACACTGAAAGTTAGTTTATACGCCAACCAGATCGGCTTAATCACACCCACTAAAAGACTTTCGATAGTAGACCGGCGCAGAGAGAATCGACTGGTGCGTCGATGCGGCAACGACGATCACCGTCCTGTCTTCTAGCCTGGCACAACAAAACGAGCTGAAGGCGAAGTGCCTAACCCTCGCCTAGCTGCAGTATTCCTTACTAATATCGATTTGCTTATTTGCCAAAGACAAGCAGGTAGACAGGAATAGCGAACCAATCAGGAATTCGCTGGCAAACTGCTTAACGCCAAATCAGAAAGACCAGTAGTTGAAGTCTGTAAGGCCTTAGCCACTGCTACAGGGAGTTTGGAATTTGTCACTGGACGTCGGCATTCTACCATGATGCACTAGTATATTAATCAGCAAAGAGCATAAAAAGGCTTTCCGGAAACTTACTTTTGAAGTATATTCACGTAAGTACTCCGTATTAGTCACTGTGCATGACCGAACTTGTTACATCTATCTAACATTCCTGCCTGTAGACGACGATTGAAAAACAGAAGCAAGGTGGTCTCATAGCAAATAAATTAATAAAAGGTTTATGGTCGAGGTGTATTCGGTGCCGTCCAACTACTCTACCTTGAAACATGCCTGTCAATTTACAGAATGAACGCATGATGTTCACATCAGTCGCTGTCACTACCTGTGCTTATTGTTATTTCTGCTACTCACGAATATTGTAAACTCAATTGCTTAGCCCCTTAGTACACAGTTAGTACCTTGTGAATTCATTTTTGTCCACATAAACATGTATGACTTCATTTGGGTAGTAGCAGCGACATCGGTGACCAGCGAAATTGGAGCATTTCGAACGTGCGACCAGTAGCGCTGGGATCAGCTTCGAGCTAATACTGCCGTTTCCTCTGGAGTCGCCTTCTTATACACACGGTTCACATTGCACACAAGCCTCATAAGGCGAGTTAAGAAGTATTAATAATACACACCACGAGCTTCTCGTGTGTAACGTCCGGGTACGCAGTAGATTGGTATGAATGCGTTATGCGAATTGATCTAGTGTTCGGAATCCACTAGTTGTGACAACACCGCACTTGTCACGTTCTTCCTCACACCGCTGTAGAACCAACCTGGGCAATGCTCTCGAACTCTAACGGACAATCATCTTGTCGCTTTCCTAACATTTCTCGCTCGACACGAGCAAGAGCAAGTGCACACAGGAAGAAATCTGTGACTGAGGTCTCCTCTCCTTGAGTTGCTGGCGCAAAATCCCTGTTGAAGTGAAGCTTAAGCGTAGATCCGCGGCAAAATACATTCTCGCTGTTGCTATGCAAAACCTTCGGATGGACTGTTCCACTATCGTGTCACACTTAAACGGTAACGGTTGATCGCTTTGCCGCAGAAACAGTGTCCACTTTTGACACGTGTTGCTCCATGTGCCTCTGGCTGAATTTGTTGTGATATCCATTAGGTTAGAGCACGGTTCGGATAAGACTCGGCTCATGTGAATGTGTATCTACTGTGGGTATCCTCTTCGCTCTCTCCGTTACGCAACGGCCGGGATCACCTTTCCGACTTATTGGAACGAAACTACCAAAGTGGATGTAGTCCCATTAAAAGTTGCACATCTGTGCATGCTCCTCCGCGCCTGATGCTCTATTGATTTGGGCATCTAAAAATGCCAACGAGTTTGAGTGTCATTATGAAATACTCGTTAGGTAGATGGATCGTGACTCACGATTCCCATTTCTGTGAACCTTGGCTATTTCTATCTCCATTACAGTAACCGATGAAACATCTGGATTTTGGATGCTGCCTGCCCGAAAACACTGCACACCACGACGCGTTTGGACCTTAATTTTTATCTTATCAGGTCAAATAGCAAACATCGCACCCGGTACTATTGGGATGTTAAACGCAATGCATTGCCCAAGTTGACGCTACAGCGGTGTGAAGATTAATGTGTCGAGTGCAGTATTGTCGCACGTAGTTGACTCAGATCACTAAATCTGTTCGTTGGACATGTTTCAACACCGGATTGCCCGAAGATGAATTCATTGGTTGACTGAACATGGAGGTTGGGGGGTTACCACTCATAATGTGTTGATTGCGTTTGTGAAATCGCACACTTATTCTTCAACGTTGTTTGAACAAATACACATTTGATTTGTCTAAGTTAAATGGTACTTGACAATTTCACCAAGAACTTGCACAACACCAGTTCTTTCCTTTACCTCACCAGATAGCCAGTTAGATTTCGACGGCATACTCCTAGCGCACCAACATGTTGCAACACCGGTTTTTTTCAAGAATACTGGTCCATGTCTGTCGATTGCAAATTCTAAGATAGGGAAAACTAGCAAGTAATTACCTACCGCTGAAAACGAGACTACTAAAGACATGCAGTCCTCGAGAGAGCGCTGAAACGTGATAGCACGTGACGCTCAACCCAGACGAACAATATACATGATCCCAAGGGATGCGATAAGCAAAGTTCTGTCTTCGGATATACGCCGCTGACAGCTACTCGTCTACGATTGTAACACAATAGCTGTTACATTGTGGTGCACTTCATAAAACAATTGTACAAACCTAAGCGAGGAAATTCAGCCTATCGACTACCACCTAGGCCACTGTGGAAATAAGACAGATTCTAGAAAGAGAAGGAGAGATAAATGTGCAGAGTACAGAGGGATGAAGAATAATTATGCGAGAATACTGACATTAGGCGTTATATATAGAAGGCATATCTGTAGGCTTTCGAAATCTTCATATCCAGTCCAGTGAACTTTACAGGCAGGCTAACCAGCAATATACGCAAGTCTATCGTCATGTTTGAGAAAAAAATATATCGGTGGTTTATTTCAAAAAGTAAGAGTTGTATTTAACGGGTCTCACCTGGATAAGTAGGGTACGACACCTCGACTGCTTTTCATCCCATCTGAGGTAGCCCGGTGACAGTATAGGCCAGTCCATCACTGGGTTTTTGCACATTACCAGCGCTGCTCATGAGTTTTGGTCCCTGTTGATGTTTTGTCTAACGTTTGTACACTTAATAGCAATTAGAAACTTGATGGTGCCACTGGAATTCAATTACATACAAGTAATAACGAAGCTAGCTTATTTTATTCCATTCATTAAGGAAACGTTTAACAGGAACTCTGATCTCTTATGTGCCATTCTATCATTAATGGGAACCAAAAGCTTATCAATTTCTAGTGTACCTTTGGAACTTAGTTTGCCTGTACGAATTTGATATTCCAACCTCGTGGATCAGTGTGCACACGAGGTTTGCTTTGGGTTTTACTCGTGAAAGCATACTGGTCCACCTCCTAGTGTTCTGTGTCATTCTTCATAGTCATGCATGTGTACGGCCGTCTTATCCGGTTCTCTATTTCAAGCTAATCGGGAGTTTCTGGATTGCACCAGACGTTTTTGTGATACTCAAGCATTGACTGCACACAGACACTCACAATGTTTATGTCAATAATCTAGTTTCAAAAATAATTTGCTGACAACGGTTCTATAAACTCTTACACTTCGTTACCCTGCGCATTTTGCTGAGGAACTAGTGTATTGAAATGATGTCAGCTGTCCTGTATAATGAGGTGAACCGAGGTTGAATGTGTCAGTATGTTACACAACGAGGTTCTGAAGATTGGAATCCCACCGCACAGTGAAGTGGTAAAATTTTCATCCTGTGTATCTTGTAAAGTTATGTTTTTTATCCCATCATACACTGTTGAATTATTGGACTATAAAGAGTAAAACGCAAACATTAGTAAGACAAGACCGTTCTTTATATATCCGATGCTGAAAATTAACGCTAGCAATCCGACATATCATATCAATTGTTAGCCATCCTTAAGGGTGATTATGTTACAATGGAATATTATGGAGCTACTGTTTGGGAAGGTGATCTCGTTGATTTTGTTATCCACCCGACTGCAACTTCGTGTGCTCTAGTGTAGGCATGGCAAAATGAGTGTCGATAACTCACTGTTTTAAAAAGTCACAGAAACACCTATATATGCACATTCACTGAAAAAGTGAGTTCGCGACTGTGTGAAATGAGAATCCCTTCGTCACAACTAACCATGACGTTTCGTGATGATCTATAATACGCTGCCAGTACAATAACATATTTCGCAACACCTTAGCTGTATTCGTGTGTCAAATTTGTTCTCAAGTTGCAGTTACTTAGTATACTAAATTTTATTTGTAGTTGGGAATAAATTACGAATATTATTTTCCTTTTATCTGCCTTGTGCGTTGGTGCATACAGTCTGCGGCCACTGAATAATTCCAGCAAACCGCTTACATGTTAGACTGAACGCTACCCAGTCACCCACCACGGGACTCACCAATCTGCGACGCAACAGCAAGTGCCCCTGTTGCCAGCGTTGACAGGCTCGGTTTGCGTAGAAACCTACTCCGTTTCTCTTGCTTAGATATTTATAAGTCTTTGGTGCCTTCATTTCGATTATTCGTTACCAATACGGAAAATTTGCAGCGCTTGTGGTTAAGTTGAAATTCCGGATTTTGCATTGTTCCTTGAGCTGCTCGGTTGACTAGCAGTTGTTTCGTTGCCAGGCTCGGCAAAATCACCAGTGCGAGTCCATAGGCGTTGTTCGCAGAGACTCGTAAATGGCGGATGGTTCCAAGTGCTTATTGACCGAGTTCTGTTTCGCTAAACTTCAAGGAATTCAGTCACTTGAGGGCTCCTTGCCCTTCCGAGGAAATTGCTGACGAGCTCCTCATGAGTGCGATCTCAGCGTTGGAGGCAGACTGAAAAGGCATCAAGTAACGCAACTCAGCACTTCAAGCTCCTTCGTAGAGTGCCTCAGTCTTTCCGATTATAATTGGCGTAAACGTGAGGCGGCATGCGGAATACGCTATCCATGTGCGGGAACCCTGGCAAAAGCGCTACCTCACCGCGTTTGATACTTTGTGACGGAGAACGCCTATTTTACCCACTCAGACCGAAAACTCCGGATGTGCGCAGCGCAGTTATGGGCGTCTACGGAGAGATGTCACAATGGTATATCAGATTTTAATAACCCAAACCACGTTTGCCACGACCAATTGAAGCGCAGACGAAAGACGTCTCTTAGGGGTCACCAATTTAAATTGGTCACTCAGTACAGCCGACTTGAATAAAGACGAAACGTTTTCACCCTCCGAATTCACAGCTCTGGAACTCCTTCCCAACGCATGTTCTTAATGCCCCTACATCCGCACTATTCAAAAATGCCGTGTCGATACCCTGACACATTTGCACTACGTGTTAAAATTCGTGACCATCAAATGATGGCATTAGTGCAGAACAAACAGTGGATGATATCATAATCCTCCTAAATTCCAGGCAGGAATACTCACAAATGTGCTATCGCAAACCACTTGGAGAGTCGTATCTCGTGCGTTCCTTTACCGACACTGTGTTTTAATCTCGTAATTT